GAATGGCCAATAATGTACTAGCTAGTAAAACGGAATGGCCAATAATGTACTAGCTAGTAAAATGGAATGGCCAATAATGTACTAGCTAGTAAAACGGAATGGCCAATAATGTACTGGCTAGTAAAATGGAATGGCCAATAATGTACTAGCTAGTAAAATGGAATGGTCCAATAATGTACTAGCTAGTAAAACGGAATGACCAATAATGTACTGGCTAGTAAAATGGAATGGCCAATAATGTACTGGCTAGTAAAATGGAATGGCCAATAATGTACTGGCTAGTAAAATGGAATGGTCCAATAATGTACTGGCTAGTAAAATGGAATGGCCAATAATGTACTGGCTAGTAAAATGGAATTGTCCAATAATGTACTGGCTAGTAAAATGGAATGGCCAATAATGTACTGGCTAGTAAAATGGAATGGTTCAATAATGTACTGGCTAGTAAAATGGAATGGTCCAATAATGTACTGGCTAGTAAAATGGAATGGTCCAATTGCTGTTCTAATGCATAATATTGCCAGGTGGTGTTAAGTATATAAAAACGAACTTGTTTTAACTTTGTCTCATTTCCACGGTCACTATAGTTGTCTGCCTCGTGGATCCTTGGTCGGCAGAACGCTGCTTTTAAGTCACTTCGAGTTCGAAAATGGTAAGTTTGGTTGACTACTGTGATAGTTCGCACCTGTTGATACGAAAATTCACTGGCTGTGAAAAAGACTGCATTTTTATACGCAGTAATTCGCGTATCTATGTGGGGAGGGGGGTATTTTTTGTGCACTTCACCAACGTTCCGTACGGTTAAATCGCGTTGTTACGAGGTAGAACTGAATAGTCCCTATTCCTGTCAATAGGCTATATTTATTTTCCATTTTTGGGGCAACAATTTTGTAAAACTGTCTGCGTAGTCTGGCATAACAGATAATTGCTATCCACCCTGTTGCGTAATCGTGGCTGTCGGAGGTCGTTCATCTTCACCGTGATTGGTAAATTGAAAGTGTAGACAGGTGACACTATTATAACGTGCTGTGTAGTGGATTTCATTGTATTCGGTCTGTTGCAAATTCCGCTGTACGTCTTTGTACATTTATTTGAACCTAGACATCCACCAGACATCCACCAGAAAACGTTACGGATACAGGTTTCCGTTCCCTTCCCTAAGTATAGCTTTATCATATTTTATTGGGAGGTTTATGCGCTTCTGACGTAGCGAATTGTTTTTGTTTGTTTTTTTGTTATTTTTGTAGATTCGATATTATATAAAGGTGGGTATTGTGATTGGTCGATAGGTACTGAGTTTATTCGAAAGGGCAGACGTTATAAACAGTGGCTCGTGGATACAGCAATCGCATACCCCTAATTGTGTCAAGCGTGAAATGCTGGTTCCAGAGTGGTGCGTAAATATCACGTGCGCCCTCAGTCTGATTAACTTTTGTGTATGGTCGTGATATTCATTAAATGTTCATTTCTGCTTCATTTTAGCGTGAATGTATATCAATGCATCTTGGCCAAGCAGGCGTACAGATGGGAAATGCATGCTGGGAGCTCTACTGCCTGGAACATGGTATCCAACCAGATGGTCAGATGCCTAGTGATAAAACTGTTGGAGGTGGTGACGATTCCTTCAATACGTTTTTCAGCGAGACTGGGGGTGGCAAGCACGTGCCACGTGCCGTCTTCGTGGACTTGGAACCAACTGTCGTAGGTGAGAACTAGAAGCACTGCATTATAACCATTGTTGTAGGCCTTTTAGTTTTAATAAGCCCACTATTTCAAAATGCACATATTCACCAATATTGTGAATTTGGACACTGATTTCGAATTCAGCAATTTGCATAGCTTTTGGGTAACTATTAATTTTCTTGTATTAATACTTCCAATTTAATATTGCAGACGAGGTGCGAACCGGTACCTACCGCCAGCTATTCCACCCTGAACAGATGATCACCGGTAAAGAAGATGCTGCCAATAACTACGCCCGTGGCCACTACACCATTGGTAAAGAACTGATTGATTTAGTCCTGGACAGAATTCGTAAGCTCGCTGACCAATGTACTGGTCTGCAAGGATTTCTCATCTTTCACAGCTTTGGTGGCGGTACTGGTTCGGGCTTCACATCACTGTTGATGGAACGTCTATCCGTGGATTATGGCAAGAAGTCGAAATTAGAGTTCGCTATCTACCCTGCTCCACAGATCGCTACTGCTGTCGTAGAGCCGTACAACTCTATCTTAACTACCCACACTACACTGGAGCACTCTGACTGCGCCTTTATGGTTGACAACGAAGCGATCTACGATATTTGTCGTCGTAATCTTGACATCGAGCGTCCAACGTATACAAATTTGAATCGCCTGATTGGTCAAATAGTCTCTTCTATAACTGCTTCTCTTAGATTCGATGGTGCTCTGAACGTGGACTTGACGGAATTTCAGACCAATCTTGTTCCCTATCCACGCATCCACTTCCCGTTAGCTACCTATGCCCCTGTGATCTCTGCTGAGAAGGCCTACCATGAGCAACTCTCGGTGTCCGAAGTGACAAATTCCTGTTTTGAGCCGTCAAATCAGATGGTTAAATGCGACCCTCGTCACGGAAAGTATATGGCGTGCTGCATGTTGTATCGTGGTGATGTTGTTCCAAAAGATGTCAACGCTGCCATTGCAGTTATAAAAACGAAACGTACCATCCAATTCGTCGACTGGTGTCCCACTGGTTTCAAAGTTGGCATAAACTACCAACCTCCAACCGTTGTACCCGGCGGTGACTTGGCTAAAGTACAACGCGCAGTCTGCATGTTGAGCAACACCACAGCCATCGCAGAGGCCTGGGCCCGTCTGGACCACAAATTCGATTTAATGTACGCCAAACGTGCTTTCGTCCACTGGTATGTCGGTGAGGGTATGGAGGAGGGAGAGTTCTCGGAAGCACGGGAAGACCTCGCTGCATTGGAAAAGGATTATGAAGAAGTTGGGGTAGATTCCGTCGATAACGGAGAAGAGGAAGATGAGGAATATTAAATTGAAAGTGAATAATTGTACAAAAATGATGATGTAAATTTAATAAATGAATTGATATAAAGTTTGCCATTTTACTGTGTCCTGCACGATATTTCCGCCTCTTAATTTAGTATGTGTAGTATGGGGATACACTCCCTCAATGCTATTATAATTGTCTGACACTGACTACTCAGCAGCTTTATTTACTTCAGTGCCTTGAATAATTCTACCCTTATTACAACAAATGGGGAATATTGCAAGCTAGCTGCCGGAGCATTGAATGTACATTTTGAGTAGGCGTTCATTACTATCAATATAGTAAACGACCCTGGGAGGACCATTTTGTGCATTAATAATGTTGTTCGGGCGACTGGATTTAGCGACAGCTTAGTAGTCTACCAGTCGTCCATTAGCAATTCCTTGCGTCGTGAAATGACTTGTTAAAACAAGCACGTTGTTGACTCTTCCAATAGAAGTGAAAAGAAATCTGCTCGATGAAGGTGTGTATGGTCAATTCTCTAAATTTACAGGGGAAAATGTACGAGCGCTCGGTTTTCAAAAAAAAAATGTTTCAAACAACTTGAGTGTACTATGTACTAGTTTGTCTGGTATTAGAAGCAGTTTCCAATTGAGATGAGCAGTTTGTAAAATAGTAATACTACATACTAACGTGGGTTGGAATTTAAACTTCCAACTTCTCATCTCGGGCCACGGGTACACAAGGCGTGCGTTTGAACATGAACAGACTTGTACCCATAAATTCAGCCGATACTGGCTTGCTACATTGTTGGTTAACCGGTCGCGGCGGCATGGGGGTGGTGGTGTTTGTGGTGTCGTCCCCCCAAATCAAAATGGAATCCTTTGTGTCAGCAACATTTTCCCCTCAAAGTACAGAAAAAGGCGTTTCAGAGGGTCTAGATTTCAGATCTCGCCCCTCGTGCACAATTTCGTGCCACCGCCTCTGGCAACTGAGGTACATAAACGACAATTTCATAATGATTGACCCAGCAGCCACTTGCATAACGTTTAGTTTTTAAAATGTATTTACCGCAGGGTATTGTCTTGTCAATTTCACAGGAACTCGACCTGTGGGTGCTGGCAGAGCTGCTTATACAAATGTACGAGCATTTGTATTTCATAGTTTGGAACCAATTGTTACCACGATTTGGGATACATATTGTACTGTAGATTAACGATCTATAGTCCCACGTGTAAATGTGTCTTCTACAATATGGTTATACAACACTAGTTTTAAATGTTGTTGCTTATCATTAAAACATGTTTGTACATCAAGGGTTTCAAATTTGGTAAAATAATACTAGTACACCGTTACTATAGTTCGCGCCCTCTAGTGGCGAATCTCTCGTATAATGTGAATGGTCACGAGTGTTTTTCTTGGTGTTTTTTTTTTTCAAAAAAAAGGCCGAATCGATTGCGGAAAAGGGACGAAAATGTGATGACCACGAAGTCTTTTTTTTTTTTATACCCCTGACCATGTAGTCTG